GTACCTGTAATCTTGAGGGAACTGGTGCTCCCTGACGGGTTCGATCCCGTGTCACGGTTGCGGTCCGGATAGCCCAATGGTAATGTCGAGTCACCTAGACTAGTGGCCACATTGCAACTTGATCGATAGCATTCGATTTGCACTAAGAAGGGTTTGACACACATGACATTGATCACCACCCAGTGATCAATCGATTGTCAATTCTTAGTTTGTCATAATGGTGGTTTTCGTTCTTATCACATTAGTTTGGGGCGAATCTCATAGCCTTAATCTATTTGAAATCAAGAACTAATCATTGGTGTCGTGGTAGAGAGTAATTCGTAAACATTCCGAAACAATCATCACTCTGAAATCATCACCGAAAGGGGCTACGGAATTGAATTAAAGCTATTAGAACTAATAAGTAGTAACTACGAATCTTTTTTAAATAAATAAGAATATTATTTAATATCCGAATCTATGATGAACATTAATTTAAATTACGGTGGTATGAATATTTTTACTACAGTTATATATGTTTGGCAGTTTAAGTTCACCTGCCCCCAAATGCCCTGGTATGGTCGAGGGTGCGGAGAGTTAGCTCTTCCTCTCGAAATGCTCTCACATGGCCACGCGTATGCAGCCATCTACAGGGAAGTCCTACTCACTGCTTCCTTGCAGTGTGGGTGTTGTTTACGAAATTGAGAAGACGAAAAGAGAATGTCCGGCTTCTTAACTGAGTTGGTGGATACAGTGAATCCACTCTAATTTCAAACCAACAGTGCACTAAACAAATCCTATTTCTGACATCGCGATACATGGTTAAATAAAAGACAGAGAAGTCCATAAGAAGCTTTATCCATATACAGTTAGTCAACACTGGAAATCTAATGGATGTAAAGTTGGCTAAACGAGTTTCGAATTGATGAAGGATATTGAGAAGGTTAGTTAAAAATGATCGCAACTATTGATCAGTTTGTGTTATCTATTTCAGGTTTGCTAGGCTTGTGGTTACACACTAAGAACATTTCACGGTTAACGAAGATAAGTTCTATTTTACCCGATGGTTTGAAAAAGTTTCATTATCATTTGGTTGCGGCTTGTTTGGGTTGCATTGCAATGACACCTTTTAGTGCAATCGGTGTTTATCAAAAAGGGTAAGAATAAATTTAATCTAATCTTATTGGATACACATATTTAACTTCCGGACGGTTCAGATCCTAATTAGCATGACTTACATTATTTCAGTCTTATGGCTTGAAACCTCCACTAAAACTCTAGAATAAATATGCACTATGATCAAATTTTTATAGAATATAGTAAAATGATGATATATTTGTAGTGTCATAATGAGTAGAAACAGCAATTAGAGGAACAACCTATTCTTCTGTTCTATTTAAATTTACCTGCTTCTATTTGGGCAACCGGGCAGTATCCTAACCGTCATGCAAATCGAATGATTTATGTGGAGCATATCTATTTGGTGGATTCTTGTACCAATGTTTATGTGTTTAACTAACTGTCAGTTTATTCCGGTGATTTGTTTACTCTGAAGAAGTGGCTTTCACTAGATTATGTAAGGTCAGATGCTCTCATTTCTACTCATTAGGATATTACAGATGTATCATTATTATTTTATGATTAAAATTCTACCCAATACTTAATTAATTTGAAGTTACCTTAATAATAAAACTTTCATTGAATACTTATTCTGAGTAGCAATTGAAATTAGCTTAAATCTTGAAGGTTAGATACAACGTAAGACCAGGTACACATATGCATCGGTCCAAGTTGTCACATCTCATTAGCACAACAAGATGAACACTGAATATTATAGAAGTAGTTGCCTCAATGATAGTAATATATAAAAGAAAGATTGCCTATAACGATATAATACAGGAAGAAAGAATTAGCTGGTAGAGAGGAAGACATAAAGCAATTTTAACCTCACACTTTAAGGGAAGACAGAGAGTGTACATGTAGTAAACCAAATACTATTGGGACAATCAAATGTACTTCACATGAAATTACAGAGCATCTCAATAAAATCTGAGAACCATATAGTAAATCCTTAATTTGCAAAATATCTACCCATCATCTCAAATTTGACTGTTCTTGTTGCAAACATCAATCCATTATCTCAGATTTCATTATTCATGCATTTTCATAGCAATTGCATTCCGTTCCGTTCTTTCCTCATCGACCTTCTACTAAAGCACATTCTATGCCTGACCACCGTTATATGCTACTTGTGTGAATATAAGTAACCTACACCACATATACACCTACGCCATTGTGATCGATTCTGAGCCAAATCACCCAGAATCTCCATCCACTGGTTACGATAGTCACGCGGACCCCAAACAAGTAGTCTGCATCTACCAATATGGCCTATACCAGAAGTTAGCGACTTCAAGGACTGATGCTATGTCTTGGATTTGCCACTCCTAACTTTCTTCCAACAATCTCCAACACTAGTCAGCACTGTGTGCCATGGTATTCTGTGTTCAGGTATACGTAACACGTGGCCCAATAATCTCCGTCGATGAACATTTACAACCTAATATAGCACCTGAAATCCTAGCCTCAATAATTACCGGACGCCTAACAAAGACTCATGAACTGCAAACACGAAAAATTCAGGCTGACATCAGACCTGGTCGTGGCTGCATCGATCACATATTCATTATTCGTCAGGATTTAGAACACAGGCATGCCTATCAGTGTTCGGCAATGATTGTTTTCTTGACTTAAAAGGACTGAAAACACTAATGAGGCTTTTTATTAGTACTTGGCTAATGACTAATGAATATTGCTGTAATTCCTGGAAATTATTTATTTAAAGGAGTATTCCACTGACTTTTGAATTGTATATATATTACATTCATCATAATTCTTACTGTAAGCTTTTGTTCATTGCTTTCATGAAACTGTTCATTCATCTCTGAAGAGGTAATTTAATTAAGAGCTGAATTGTAACCCCTTGAAAAAAACATTTATGAAAATTGAATGAAACATATGAAATGAAGTTTATCTAATTGTGTATTTGAGCACACTGATGAGACCAAAAATAAAGCAAAAGGAACTTTAATACAAAAAAGATTCTATCATACACTTTTAAATGGATTACCAAGTAAAACAGCTGACAAAAATACCGTTTTTTCTTTTCTTATTTGTCTTGTGAAGTAATGTTAAATATACTAAAAGTATTCTAGAGGACATGAGTTGATTGAAGATGAACTACTGGATGTGTGTTCAAATTTACAAATAGTACCAGGATATCTAAAATTTTGAGATGGTGGAGAAGATTTGTAGCTCAGTTGGATGATTTTGATGAAGTTTTGTTCTCTGAGCTAGATGACTTGATTGTGAAGCTTTCATCGTTCTTTTCAACGATATCATCAACACAAACTTCAGATGGAAGAGAAGTCTGCTTTGTGTATTTTCGGTCTACTGTAGTGAACAGAATTCCATCAAAATATCTAAAAGATTATTTATTTGATTCTATCTAGTATTTAATCTTCTTCAGATGCGTACAATAGGCCTTAATTTTCATATAATTCACCACGAGTAGTTTCACAGTATTCGGGCGCTGAATTAGCTAGTTTAATTAGGATTACTACATACATTTGGCGTTGGTTACGTACGTAAGAATACTATATATAAAGTCATATACCTTAACACTGAGTTCTAGTCTTTTCCATTTAGTATGGACCATACATACTCTTGATAGTTTAAAAAATGTTTTAGGATGACCCAATTATAACAGAAAGTGTTATTCGTCAGTATATTTATACAATTTATTTAGTCACTTGTGTACGGTTATTTATTATGGTTTTTGTTTTGTAACCTACCCATAGACTTTAGTCTCTCTTATAAGCTGACGTTTTGTATGAATGCAAAATTTTCTTTCTAAAGATTGTACATAATGCAAATATCTTACATGTTTCAGTATATCAATCAACTGCAAACATTACCAACGTGATTATATTTGAAATTCTACTACTGTGAATGTAGGAGGTCGTGATTGACAGATAGGGAATAATTCAAGAATGGAAAATCGTTGAACAGGTTAAAATAAAGCTTATGATAAGAGAGACACGAATATGAATAGTTTAGTTAATCAACAATTATACGACAAAAATATACGTACAGTATTGGTCGGTAAATAGATCCCAAAAAATTACCACTCATTATTCTTATTGAGACACAACAAGGAATGAGTAACAACCAAATTGTATTGTAGTGAATGTGAACACAAGTAAGGACAACCGAATGTGTTTCAGTACAAAATTACAGAATCTCTTAGCAAAATTTGCGAACCATACAGTCAATACTTGATTTGGGAAAAAAATCAGTCAATCGTCCTTTTTCTCCACACTAGTCATTCTTTGTTCTCGTTCTCTTTTCTTCGGTCTACCTAACCTTCTATCTCGAAACATGACACTTTCAATTGATGATCCATACTACTTATATCTACCAACATATGACTAAACATTGCTAGTAAGCTGTTCAGCAAATATATTGTATTTTGTTTCAACTAACTTCATCTGTAAATATGTTAAAGTCTGTACGTTATATGTACTACTGATTGATAGTTGTAATGCTACTCACTGACTTATATCGAAATACAGAATGGAAAGCATAAGATTAATTCAATATATTAGTTCATATTAAAGATCATTTACTCAAGGATGTGTATAGATATATCTATAAGGAACCAGTAATCAAAGGATTTCAGTTACATTGAAGAAATTGTAAATAATTCTACTTCAGCCTTATTTATTTTTCAGTTTTCATAACTTTCAAGTGTTGAAAAGAAATTTCCAGTTAAATATTTGAGAACGAAACGGCCGTCCAGTGCTTCCAGGTTTTCCATGATGGTCTAGTTTCAACTGGCTCATGATCTTAACCATTGAAATTACTACCATCTCCACAAAATCCATCTGATATTTTATTTCTTTTAATATTTCAGATGGCCTTTTGGTCATTTTGGCTGTCAGTCATATGCATTTGCTGGAATGTTTTTTGGAATGACATCAATTTATTTGTCGTGTTTTATCTGTTTCTTCACTATGGTTGAAATATTGAACTTAACCTATAGTAAGTAGACAAAGATTATATTCTGTTATAACTTGTAGCCTGTGTGCCTCGTTAATGTATAACATAATGATACCATTAATAAGAGAACAGTGAATTATCGACCTGATCAATGACGCATAAAACCCGTATGAGCATTCTGGAGTACTTGTCGGTCCCGCTTACTGCCTAGCCCAGTCAGTTATGTCCAGAACACCAATCTCAGCCTCAGAGATATGAATCATTTATGTCAAGCATACTGGGTTTATATACCAATCAAACAGACCACATCTTACCATAAAAGGGAAAATAAGATTTGTACAAGAATTAGCCAAATGTGGCTATGAATATGAGCGATAGTAATTGATAGACAAGGGATAACGCAAGAATAGAATAACTAGTTTCTATCGTAAAATTTCATTCAGACTGAGTTTTCTATTAACCAACAAAATCAATGTTTTTATAGGGTAATTTCACTTATGACTGTTAGCTTGTTGTATTGAAAAAGACGTTCGAAAGGTATTTGTTGTGCTAAAAGGTAAAAGTTGCGTATTTACTCTTATTATTGTAATAACAAAATATTATTATTATTATTATCAGTACTGTTTGAATAGTCTCTCTGTTATCATCGAGAACTGAATGCTTATCACTTTGTTAGCATATATGCATCCTTTAAGAATTGCCTCAATATTAGTCATTATGTTACAAGTTATTTTGAATAAATGGATTGTGTCTAACAGTAGAATCGAGGACTAATACCTGATATACTTACGTTTGTTATGCCTTGTGGTGGAGCATAGGCCACCCACCAGGATTCCGCATTAAACTCTGTCTTGAGAACTAGTCTCAAATAAAATGAAATATGTACTCTGGATTCTACTGCTAGACATAGTCCGTTTAATCTAAGTGGAAATAGAATATTTATCTGCATTTCATTAGCCGTCATTTTAACGATCATTTCGATTTCTTCCAAATTTGACTGGGTCCTATACAAGTGACTTGATCAGTCCAACAAGGGATGTTAAATTAATTCTTACGTCATACCAATCTTATAGAAATTACCTTGACATTTTATGTGCAAGCACACAACATCAAGATTCAGGTTTTTATAATGAAGGGATAATACATAACCTTAAATTTAAAGGATTTGTGTGTAACTTCATAGTAAATAACAGTTTAGTTGTGTTATATTGTGATGTCAATTAAAAACTACCAGTTCCTTGTATATTGAAGGGCAGCGAAAACACTGTAAATAAATTTTAAGAATGAAAGTCAAATTGAACTGTGATGATAATTATTATCCTCCTTTTTTACAGTCCGTCATTTCATATCTCATCAATATAATTACATTCCTTTTGGAATTTGGATGATCGGTGCATTGTGGGCTATTCTACCACTCTATGGATATGGCAGGTAAAGCGTACCTTCTTTTTACTGATAATCTATATGGTTGCTTACAGTTTCAAATGAAGGCTAAATGCATCATATTGATTGATTTTACATGTAATTTACTAAAGTACCAACATTTATGATCAATTCACTCAAATAATAACAGTCTTCTCACCTTAACTAAATCATATTCAATCATTAAGAGCAATCAACATAGCACTTGATAAAATAAGATCTATAGTTCAGGGGCTTGAACTAAACAAGATATCTGGTACTTTAAGACTACTACTGTCGACTAAATTTTACCTATCATACTAATAACTGATTAATACTGAAGAGTTTCAACTTTAATTAATCAAAAAAGAGCATCATGTTCCTATTTTTTCATCATCACATGGGTCCAATAAATAATTTCAAACATGAGGATTAGGCCAAAATTTGTCATTCATCCTCTTATTGATTACAACTTTTCAACGTGGAAAACCTATTTTTGTTGCTGTACTGACTATTCAAACTTCAAAGCAAGACATAGTTTTATAGCAACTCACGCGCAATTGATTTGATTCACATTTAATTCGGTTAAGTCATTTTGTTAACATATTAACGAACAGAGTCATCTTAACAACAGCTTATCTATATCATTGTATCTTTATTATTGTTGTGAATGTATAAACATGTATGCTTGAGCATTGCTTACTGCCCACGTATTTATTCACGCTGCTAACCGCTCAATTGATGCGATGATGCATTCCTTTCACTATGTATATATATAAGTCCATGTTAATCATGTTCATTGCTCTCTGTCGCTTACTCGTACTCATATTCGCTGACTCACTCGCTTGCCTGCTTGCCTTTCGGCACAACTCGTCTATGCTTGTTTGACGCACCTGTAATTTTGGATAAGTCTGTGTGGTCCCGTAATAAACATAATCAACACTTCGTATTCGCCTTCTGATTAATATACCGTTGGGGGCGTTATCTAGTGACGGTTATTAAGACGAGCTGTATACGAAGTTTAAGGATTATATGAAATACCGACCACCACAGTTTCTTTATTTTCCGGTTAGTAAATTTTTAGTACAAGTAATTTACAGTTCAGTTAATTCTTCAATTTATTTTGGGGGGGATTTATTCTAAAATACTCATTAAATATTTGCAGTTTAGAATAAAGTTAGCAGTATGTCAGTAACAATGTAGAACTTCGTACGTACGTATATCAGTTCGAGTTGCATACCGTATTAGCACACTGATACAATTGTCTATTCAAATCATGTAGTGGTAGAGATAGTAAAAGTATAAGCAGTAAAGATGTTATTCAGGGAGTATAATTCAGTGAAATAAACTTGGAAAGAGAAAAAAGTGGACATGAAGAGAGGATGCTTGTGCGCCATTGCAAACGATTTGAACCAGGTCATTCAAGGTCTCTAATCATCGGTTGCTATCGTCTTGAGGATCCCAACCAGATAGTTTACACCTACCAACAAGGTTCATTCAGTTCACTTGTCAGTGACTTGATGGATTTGTGCCATGTTTTGATTTGGCCGCATCTAGCTTTCTTCCAACCTACTCCTACACCATAAAACACAGCTCGTCGGGGTAGTTGGTGGTTGGGCCTACATAACACATGTCCCAGCCATTAAGTTAGCATATTAATAAGAACCATATCTTTGATAAACTGACTTAAGATCAAATGAATAAGACTAAACACAAATCTATATTCATTAGAAAATTTTATTTAGTATGTATTCTAAGTGAATGCCATTCTGGTAACTGTCTGACAGGTCAACAATCTGCCTTAATTAAACAAGTCAACACCGATTAGTCAAATTTACGGTCACATTAAAAAATTAAATAGACGAGATCAAGTCATAACACTAGTAATGGCATGTTTGTAATATCTCAGTGAATATAAAATCGAATTTCTGATGTTTATTAGCTCAGTATAAGTTATAGTAACTATCATACAACCAATATTGATTATGGTTAATTTTAGTTGAGTGTTTTTTACTAACTTACTTAACAGATAATGCTATTGGAATAGTCACGATTCGCATATTTCTTTGTAGTGTTATGATCACTAGATCATATGACAGACTCTAGCTAAGATGTTGATCACTTAAATATCACTAGATGATTCATTCTCATCCTCATGTATATATGTACTCAAATCCTATTATTATTAGCTTTTGCTTTACTGTGCCCTTATGCAATTTGACTATAAATTTGCCAATGTATTGGATCATATATACCTATTTGCCTCTCAACTTCAAATGAGCTTGATGTGGTTATAGCTTTGTGATAAGTGTTATCCACTAATAAACTGTGGTTGCTGCTTCTCATCGCCTTCTGATTTCATACACCGTTGAGAGTTTATATTATAACTGTTATTGAGGTGATAGATTAACGACGAAAAGTCACAACAAAATTGCTTCTTCATTAGGGCATTGAAAGCATATCATTATTCACTTGGTATTGTTTGGCTTGTATCTTCCCATCGAGGTTTAAGACTGCAATTGATCAGTCTGTTATTGGCATATGTGCATACTGTGTGTATGCCTCAATATTACCTTAATTCACAAGCTATTTGTAAGCAATGATGGATAGTGGCTAGCAGTGGAACCCAGGACGCGGGTACATCCAGCTGACGAGTCCTAAATGGGACGAAACGCGCGTCCTGAATTCCACTGCTAGCCACTATCCATCGTATATCATTATTCTTTATTCTAAACAACCTATACCATTTTAAATGTGTTTGAATTGATTATCAAGTCGAAACTTGATAATGATACCAAATCACTATGTTAGCTTTTCCTAATGTTTCAGATATGCATTAGAACCTCATAACACATCATGTCTATTGGACTGGACTAATATGGATAAGAGCATGAAATTGTATATGTTTTCACTAATTATATTTGGTTATGTACTTCCATTCGGTATCGGTATTTGGTCACAATATAAACTGATACAGTATGCAGTATCGGATACAAATAAAAATAAGAAGAAGAACACTACAAAGATTGAGATTCTTATAAAGGTAGATTTATTTATTTGATTATTGCCTAATTATTTTTAAGATCTATTTCATGGAAACTCCGCCTTGAGTCCCTCCGGGGGTTACTGCCGATCCCAAGGCCGGATAAATGAGGAGGGTTGGGCATGGGGTTAGCGTCCCCATACCGTAGAAAACTAACTCGCTAAAAAACGTCAACCAGAAAAAAATATTCAAACCCTTTAAACTCTACCCTGGGAGTCAGAAGGTCTTCATTTAGAAGGACTATGACGCTTCATGATGAAAGCCGAGTTCCTTCGGAACTCACGAGGCCGATGCCCATTCTGACAACCAGAGCAACCATTAATTTAGGTACATGGAATACTCGTACAATGTGGGAGACCGGGAGAGTCTTCCAAATTACTGAATTGCTGCTGCATTTCATGGAGACTAAAAAAGATCAATGATTTGTTGAACTCACTAGATGAGTTGTGTTCTTTTGGTTTCTTTCATTGGTTAAGACCAAACTATAACAGAAGAATTGCACTAACATTTGTTTCACATTTCAAATGGACATTGTCAGTATTCTACACCGGTCCTTTTAATGACTTTGATGAGGTGATTATATAAATGCATCGAATAACTTATCCGTTTTTAGAGTATCCCAGAAAATCCCTAAAATTAAGGCCCATGAATATATTTACTCTGTAATATAGTGAATTTGTGTATTTTATCAACATTAAAGAGGCTTTATCTACCACTTATGTTACTTCATAATTTTCAAAATTGAAAGGCTTGTTTATATTTAGAAAAGAGTTTTGTGGATACTATAGTTATTTAATAGTTGAGTTCATGAGTCAATTTAAGATAAACCACCATGGAATACTTGGAAGCACTGAACGGGCGTTTCGTCTACCAATGTCAGTGGTGGAGGGTGGTGCAATTTCGTGGATTGGTTGGAGTTAGACAATAACACCGTTAGATGTCGGTTTAGTGGTTTAGTTGATATTAAACCGTGAAAAATAAAATGATAAGTTTGATACGACTAACAAAACAATGGTAAACCAATTATCATAACAATGATATGAACTATAACATAGGGTAGTATGAAGTTTCTGAAAAATCGTAAAAGCTTAGCCAGTAATAATAATAATGATAATTTTGATGGAGTTTTGTTCTCTGAGCTGGATGGTTTGGTCGTGGAGCTTTCATCGTTCTTCTGAACGACATCATCAGCACAAACTTCATATAGAAGTGAAGTGTTCGAATTTCTCCACATGCGTTTCACAGCTTGTTCTGTCCACCTCGACGTTGATTGGTTCTTATTGACCTTAAATTCGTCATTGTTTACTTCTTTGTTTTGGTTGTGTCTCCCATTGGTTTGATTTTTGTTCCCATATTTGTGCATGATTTTCTTGATTGGTTGATAAATTGGATTGATTTCAATATGCTTGCTGATTGCTGATTGACCTGAGTGCCAGGCTTCTTAAACTTCTCTAGTGTTTTTGGGATTTCCTCTGTCCAATCGAATGAGTGTCCGCTGTTGTCCACGTGTATTGATATAAGTGAGGAAACATCATGGCGTTTGTCTGCTAATTGATGTTCATGTAGGCGAAGGTGAAGGGGGCGTCCGCTTTGTCCGATGTAGTGTGTTTCGCAGTTGGCACAATTTATTCTGTAGATGATGTTTGATTTGTTTTCCTCTGGTTCTCCACCATTTCCATAATGATAATAATAACTATTAAATAAGGCTGAAAAGGGTGAAATTGTCACATTATAGCCCTGAAACAAAGCAAAGTGATGTAAAAACTGTTTTGCATTTGAAATTCGGGATTGATACAAAGAATCCTTTCTATTTGGATTACTTTGTAATGTAATGAGTAACATATTTCGGATAGTATAGTTATTTATATGTTAACAGGATGCTGTAACGCTTGTTAGAGTAGAAAAATATCGGTATAGGCAATCGTTAGTATTGAGTTTTTTAGAACACTTTATCTTTTCGCTCCTTGGATTAACATTCATAAAGATTCACTGAAAGTGATTGTCTCGCCTTACTTTTACATTCCCTTAAATGTTTTATATGGGATTTGTTTAGATGAAAGTAGTAGCGGTCAGTGAATAAGCTTCATCTATACAAGTTTTCTTGATCTCTGACGGATGATAGGTGAAATCTCTTTGACAATGTTGCTTAATTGGTACTCTACTTACCAATGACTTAAGTCTTCATCATGATCATGTTAGACTTAATATCATCAGGTTTGTACTTCAGTTTTCTCAACACCAGATTGTATGTGGTGTTAGTCAGTTTAAGATGATGGTTTGGCAAAGCTGTGTATTGACTGATGTTAATGGCACAAACTACTGTGCTTTAACTTGATAGTCTGGTACTTATCGTGATCACCAAGAAAAATGATAGTCCTGGACTCGACACCGTACAGAGTCCTGACTAAACAATGTCGGACCATAATGAATAAAGTTTCCAGGATTTCTAATGTCTACTTCAATGTTATCGATCCATTTCTTTGTTTAAGAAATTATTTTACCCATGTATTAATGAAGTGCTTTTCTTTGATCTTTTATCTGCTTCATGAAATCATTCAACATAGTTGAATAATTCAATCTTATTATTCAATATATTTGGTTGGTTATCATATGGTCTATTAGCCATTAATTCATTAATATCTGGACAAATAACATTGAATCCATTTACATATTGTATACCACAACTTCTTGCAAAAATTTCTCAAGCATTTTTACCTATAGCTTATAGTTATACAGAGAAACAAATTGGACAATGGAATAAAGCATATGGAAATATAGAATAGAAATATTGTCTAATTTTTGAACAAATCTTCTTGTAGTATCTTTTATGTTATACAATAGTTAGATGTAATAGTAATCGTTATGTAATCAATTGTTTGTTCTTATTTCATTTCTGTTTGGGTAAATCCTGCAATCTCTATGAACAATTGAGTTTTAAACATAACTGATAAGTCTTGTTAATTTGAACGCTTTATTCAGTTCCTGAGCTGTTCTGATAACCCGAAAGCTAGAACTACACAGCAACCTGAAATCGAGAGAAAAGGCGCAAAATAAGCGAAAACACTTTACTCCAAAGGTTCATTTTTGTACAGAAAAACACGGGTATTTATAGATGTTAACATTTGTTGAATCAACATCATATTTTGGCCAATCCGCTAAAAGACATTTAGAAGATGTAAAAATCTTTACATATTTGGGCAGCATCATTGATGAACAAGGTGGATCTGATGCAGATGTGAAGGCGCGGATCGGCAAAGCAAGAGCAGCATATCTACAATTGAAGAACATGTGGAACTCAAAGCAACTGTCAACCAACGCCAAGGTCAGGATTTTCAATAGAAATGTCAAGACAGTTCTACTGTATGGGGCAGAAACCTGGAGAACTACGAAGGCCATCATCCAGAAGATACAGGTGTTTATTAACAGTTGTCTACGCAAAATACTTTGGATCCGTTGGTCAAACACTTTCAGCAACAACTTCATATGGAAGAGAACAAACTAGATCTCAGCGGAGGAAGAAATTAGGAAGAGGCGCTGGAAGTGGATAGGACACACATTGAGGAAAGCACCCAACTGCGTCACAAGACAAACCCTCACATGGAATCTTCAAGGTCAAAGGAAAGGAGGAAGACCAAAGTACACACTACGTCGGGAAATGGAGATGGACATGAGAAGAATGAACAAGAATTGGATGGAATTAGAAAAGAAGGCCCAGGACAGAGTGGATTTGAGAATGCTGATCGGCGGCCTATGCTCCATTGGGAGTAACAGGCGAAAGTAAGTAAGTTAGTAAGCCAAAAGACATATGCTACTGACCAATAGTAGCACGCTACGTTGACATCCTAGAAAGCTCCATCATGCTCTGATTGGCTAGGACTCTTCGGCTCATTTTGGGCCTCTGGAGGCTCCGTTGAAGTTCTCTGAAAGCCGACTCAACAATAACTATTTGACTTTTTATAGTACTCTTCTTCTTTACGGATTGGTTGACCCGGTCAAATTCGGAAACTGTAATTATACTAAATCAGCGATAATACAGTTTTCACAAAGCCGTTAAATAGCATTTTCGATTTTGACAACTATAATTAGTGGCTACTTTGAGTAACTGAAAACGTTGGATAAATAGAAATATCTCTTCATCAAAAAGATAGTTGAAGTGAGATTTATTTGGATTTCAATCGTTTCTATTCGATAGGTTGAAACAACGTCTTGTTGAACACCATTCAGTGATGTACTGAAACTAAGTTCACATGAGAAAACAGAAGAATAGTTACCTACAGTTGAAATATGTTTACTATATATTGGTTGCTCATAAAGTATGAGGATACAATAACGAGGGGAATGAATTATACTACGATCATGAATCCAATCTTGATTAATTTTAGACTGTGTTACTATGTAGAGGACGTATCCAGTCACTGAACTAGTTTTGTTGTATCAAATAAATTATCCATTGAGACAAGTAGAATTGGACCAACTCCCATCTCATGTTACATCCAGTTAGTATTTACGTGTCAAAGTACTTATGTCATAAAAAGAGGAATGAAGAATTTTCTGAGCACATTTCACAACAATTGAAGTTAATTCATAAAAGCCTATTGAGACGTTAATAATGAAAGTTGAGCAAAGATGTATTTCTTCTCAATTAGCGCTTCGTCATGGCTTTGCACTAATATATAAATTTAAAAGCCGAATTTGAATTGTCATGGTAACCACTAGTGACTGACTGACAGGTCTCTTTTTGTCCTTTAGTCGACAGTAAAAGGTGTAGTACAGAAATGTAATCGTGTGATTGTAAGTCCAATAAAACCGAGTCCGCTAGAGCAATTAAAATGGTAAAGGACGAACTGGGTAATCGTTCGCTGAATATACGTTTGATGGCTTTTTGTGCTTGTTGAATTGATGTTTCGCTAGTTATATCACCTTTGAATTGCACTTCAAGAATAAAGGTTTTTTGGTACCAGTAGTGATTAAACTTCAGGTTTAGTCTAGATATATGTTTTATTAAGGACTTTGATGAGTATACGTGTTTATTTAGTGGACCAAGAATAAATTTTAGTTCTCTTCAAGGGTATAATCAGAACAATTAATGTTGGCTTTGTCAGCTAAGGATTTGATTAGGTTTTTATTAGAAATTTTAATGGGACAAAGCTCGAAAAATGTGTATGTTGGTTGTGTGTAGGCTTCTCGTCAATAAAATGTCTAGAAAGAAGTGATGTACTTGTTTGCTTCTTTCTTTGTGTGAATGATTAGTTGATGAACACTATCAAACGTTTTGGTAGGCTTTCACCTTCGCCATGGATTTTATGGCCATAATTGTGTTATATAGCAATGAGAAAATTCTATTTAGTCTATCTTAACTTGTAGAAGTTTGTTTTCGAGTTTTTCAAAAATCAACCGTTGTTAATTCTATCGAAGCGTTCAAGTAACCCCGATTGAGATACTCGCAAAATCAAAGTTCCAAAACAACGATTTGTCTACAAAAGCGGTTCTTTATTGAATAATACACAAATTTTAGTTACAAACCTCAACTCTTGAGGTGTCTGCGGCGTTTAAACGCACCCTTCAAGTATGAAATAAAAAGGCTTCCTGTAACAGTAACACAAAGAATAATTACAACATACGATAGTACAAAGGACAGCTAATAGCTGTGTCTAAATTCGATAACAGTTTATAAACAATCGAAACCCGAACCAAGAGCAAAACATTATGGAAACTGTTGCGTTTAAACAAATGCAAAAAACTGGGGACAACCGCTACAACGATTAAGGTACAGTGATTATAATGATAAATACAATGACAAATACAATAAACGTTATAAGTATATGTGAACATTTCAGAATGTTACAGTACAACCTGAGTTACAACATAGTTGTGAAAATTGTTGGGCATACAACTGCTTACTGAATATAAATAAGTAGTATAAACCAACATACAAAAGAGTAGAAAAGGAATGAGCAGGAACAATGTAAAACAAACTTAACAACTGTTTATGTTTAAACACAGTAATGATTCAATTGCAACGACCTTCCATTGTCTATAAAGTTCTTTATCGAATAAAGTATGTATATTCATGGTATGTCTGAGTACTAATTCCCTTGAGGATGCCAATATAGGTGTAATCGTACCGAAGGTCAATGGGGAATCTGCTCATCATTTACCTGATAATGGTCACATTGTTAGCACTTCAACTTTGTTCGAAATAATCGCTACTCAGACAACTTTGAATTTATTATATTTCACATATAGGTCATCTCAGTTAAAAGAATGAATCCGAACCTGTGTATTACAAAAAAAGAATAAAGATGTAGATCTTGAACTGCCATGGGGAATTCTATCTTCATTACATGACCTTAATCATAAACTTATTTTCTTAATCTTTGCTTGTTTTATGAACGTAACTCATTTTAGTGAGTATGTCATTCTTCCATTCTGATTTCTTTTATCCTATTCAACTTCATTAATATTACATAATGAAAAACCCTAAGTTTTAAATAATGATTATTGTTTCTAGGTAATGAGCAGTTGAAAAGAATCAAGGAAATGTATGAAATCATCTACAAAGTTCAATTTTCTTCTATAGTCAAATTGAATAATTTAACAAGTCAGTCAGACAGTAACAACGTGGAACTTCGTACGTACGTACATTAGTTCGAGTTTCCATACCACATTAGCACACAGATACAATTGTCGATACGAATCCCATAGTGGTAGAGATTGTAAAAGTATAAGCAGTAATTGGAAAAATTAGGGTTTGAACAAAGAGTGGATGCACCTGCACCAATGCAAACAAGTTATTATTTCTTATTAGTTTCTACCTCTTATTCCCATATTGTTAATTCGAACAGCATATACAGAACAATATTGTTTTCCATTAGATCCTCATCAGGCTTTACTCGAATATAGAGTAATATTAATCTGCATATACGCAATTAATAAAACCAATCAAGACAGTTTATGAGTCAATGATAATAGTGCAATAGCTCAAATATTCAAACAGTACACATTGATAGTATGATGACAAGTGTACTAGTCGTGATAAGAATAATAAAGGCTTGAATCAATGTTACATAACAGGTAATACGTCAATGTCTTGAAAAAAACAAATGTGCTGAAATAACATTTATAAAAAATAGGATTATGTAATAAATAGTGTGTGTTGAAGAATGCTGGTCGGCGAACTATACTTCATTACGAGTAACAGGCGTAAGTAAGTAAGTGTCAAAATAATCGGACAATGAAGCGTATATTTGGAAAAAGGAGGGAGGGGTAACGAAAAATAAACGAACAAATAGTATGGAAAATAATATTAAATAAAATCATTTATTCAGGCCAAGAGGTGGGGGGGGGGTAAAAGTGTTACTGATTTCTCATGAATACAAGGGTTTGGATTGTTACCTCGAGTTCATACAGCTTCTGCTATTTGTAATAGACGAGATCAAACCTTATAGGGGAAACTAGTAAGAATACGACAAATCAATTTAAGTGACCTACTTCTACTACATGACCTCTATCGATCAAGTGTGATAGAATGACGGTACCCTTTCCTGGTCACTAAGGTAGGTCTACACTAACTCTTTGACTCAGTTGTCTGGTTTTGAACTCAATATAGCTTTCTCTACCGGAGCAGATGAAGTCGTGGATACACAAAAATGTAGCAGAACCAGGTAGCTTATCATTTTGTTGAGGAATTACCATAGATCGAGTCGAGAACGATAGACTGAGGTTAGCTATATTCAACGTTCTCTTTACTGCTTTAGTAAGTTTATCCCGTAGCGCATCAAAT